GTTTTCACCATCCTTGTTTTCGGAACAATAGGTCTTGGGAGCTGCGATAAATGTATATGCTAACAAACACAAGGAGCGGCCAGACCGTCTCATAGATATGCTGACAAGCAGTCACAGGTAATAGTTTCGTACTTCAGTCTGTTCCGTGTCCTAACTGTCTAAACCACATTTCGGGTTTATGTTAGTTGGGCTGCACGATTTCACCCCCAAAGGTTCAGATATTACTCGCACTCTGAGATATATGTACATCTAGTCCCACTGAGACATCCTCACCTGATTTTTTTATTTTTTATTTAATTATCATAAAAGACACAGAGGGACCTTTAAATGATGACAAAATGGTTACAACTGAGAGAAACAGGGAACTAGGACATCTCCTTAACCCAGAAACCCTATCCTATTCAAAACAGGGGTTTATAAGAAATACCCCACTCTAAATTAATTTTTAAAAATGGTCAAGAAGTTACAGGGTACTGTGCCCTCTATATGAAGGCAGTAAGTTGTATCTTATCGAAAAGAATGCGTTTAGTGGCCATGTGTAAGTAAGCGATAAACAGGAGTTTCTTAGGATGTAGCTTGAAAAAAGGGTCAGCAGCAAGAAGATTTTGAGAGCAACTATCAGAATCTTAAGAGGTTCTCTCATATGATGGCGTAGAGTTTCTTAGGATGTAGCTTGAAAAAAGGGTCAGCAGGAAGAAGATTCAGAGAGCAACTATCAGAATCTTAAGAGGTTCTCTCATACGAGAGCGGGATTTAGACGTCAGATTATTAAGCTTGTAGAGCGATCACTCAGCTATCTTTTATTACCACACATTGTTGCATTAACTTGCTGCCTGTATAAAGGGCAGAGGAATCATTTTAATAAAATATTCAGTCTATTACTTCGTGAAATCTTCTGCACGCATGTTCTTCATCAATTCTGGTGGAGTTGATGATAATCCGTCGATTTTTGCAAGAAGGATGTTTAGTAATTTGCACTGAAGTAAAAGTGAGGTGAGATGTCCAGGAATTGGGGGATTTGGGGAGAATAATAATTCTCAGAAAGTATATAGTATGATTTTTGCAACAACGATTGATGATATAGACCATAGTAGAAGTATGTATGTTATGTTTCTCATCTAGCATTATTTTGATTCAAATTCTTATAGTACTCATCTTGTACATACAGAAAAGTCTTGGCTTGTGTGGTCTGCGGTCGTCTGAAAAGTGCTTTCCAAATTGCTTCTCGAAGTGGAAGTGTTGCTGATGTCGAGTATGTAGCTCACCAGGTGAGGCATCTTTAGCACATCTATTATAGAATTCTAATTTGAATTGAGTTTGATTACCAAACCTTTGGCAAGACTAGAAATCCGATAGGTATTGAGTCCACGTTATCGGTTAACAGAAGGAAAAAAATGAGCTACAAGCTCATTTACAACTTGCGAGGCCAATATTTTGCTTACCCCTTCATATACTTTAGCGAATCGGTTATTCAAATGAGCATAATATATCAATTGTGAAGAATGCTTAATTGACAGAAAAAAGGAGGCTGAGGTCTGAAGACTCATTAAAGTATCCCAAACTAATTTTTTGTTAAGATACTAATGTCGATCGGTCCATTTCTCTTTCAGGCATTGCACGCAAATGCGCTCCCCGTGCTCGATATGTGTAAGCAATGGTTGGCTCAATACATGTAAATTAGTTCGAACAAACGGATTTCATCTTTCGTTCTTCAACCAATATACAGTCTCCGGTCACTTCACTGCAACCGTTAGTTTGTGGCGTTCTAGTAAGGTGGAGCTTGATTTTACTTGGGATTACGGCTTCAATCGGGGATACCATTTAAATTTTCCGAGACGTAGCAATGATTCCGGGATGGTTGTGTAATCATAATTATTGGAACCTTTTCATTCTGGTAGTCTGATTCATGGTGAGGGCAAGGCTGTTTCAGTTTCACCCATGGAGGACGTATGGAGAGGATATATATAACATCAGAATGATGAACCTGAATCAAAATTAAGATTTTGCAAATATATATAAATAGAAATAATGTAGCATTTTGCAGGTAATGTGATAATATATTGGGAATTGTGTTTTCAGGATGTAAAAAAATAAGATATATATATAATGCTGAATGTGGCTCTCCACTTTGTGAATGTTTTGAAAAATCAATTCCATTTTGTTTGTCACCTTCAAAGATTCTCTCTCATAAGTCATGATATCTATATCTTATTCTTCTTATTATTATTTCATTTTCATAGACATTTATTTCTTATTATTAATTTCGACTCCAACCGACCATCTGATTTGGGGTTGGGTGGAATTAAATTTCTTTCTTTCATTATATATTTTTAATAACTCCAACTCCAAAGTCAGCTTTTGATTGGTTGATGTGTCATCGGGATTGGAAGCCTCAAATAATGTTATAAAATTAAGGATTGAGCATTCTTTTATTCGGAACCCTTGGCAATGTGATTCTCATGATGTTAAAAATTTTGTTGTAATTGAAAATTTGAAGCATGTTTATGAATGATAATTGAGCCATTTTCTTATTGTGACGGTTAAGTGTTAGCGTCAATACATATGCTTTCCAATCAACTTTTTAATGTAAAATTTAAGTTTCAATCTAATTTTAGTCCTATTTTTCATTTTGGTTTTTATACTTTTGTTGAGTGATTATTTTGATCTCATTTTCTAATCACAATTTAACATAACAGCACATTTAATAATTTAAATATTATCTTAGCTTTATGTTGAAGCATTTTTGTTGTCTAGAATCTGTTATGGTTTCACAAACAACGATCAAAATAGGTTTCTATTGTATAGGATGTGCTATGATTTTGCAAATAAGAATCAAAACAGTCAATAATTTGAAAGTGGTATAAAAATAGACAAAAAGAAAAAAAAATGAAAGTACAATGATAAAATTATGATATTTTTTTTATCTCAATTCAAAATAAAATCACTCCATGTTGGATATATTTATTAACATTATCCAACTAATATATGTAAATGAAGCATATTTAAATATCATTTTTCAACAAGATGGTTATATCTCAACATATTTGTCAATATCTCTTCCTACACTTCTTGCAAATGTCAAAGGGTGCCTTAAAAGAAAAAATTGGATGGGTTGTACATTTTCTCATTTAATCATTTCATAGGCTAAAGCACGGCTAATGGACGTCATAAATACCCACATCCCGTCACCCATCTTCTTTTTTTTTTTCAATTATTTATTGACAATAAATAAATTTTATTTATTTAATTGTCTATTCCTACCTGCCAACCTGAGCTAAGTCACCTAGACCAAAAGACTGTAAGCTCAACAGCCCATCTTAAAAAAATAATAATAATAATAATAATAAATTAAAAGAACGCTTTGATTTCAGCGAGTCATTTTGCATTATTTTAATTCCAGTTTCGTTTTCATGATAAGATGTATGCATTTGATTTTATGTTATTGTTTTTCTAAAGCCGAAAATAGTCAACTGACCCTAATTAATATTTTATGGTTTATTTAATTTTGGGTAAACTAGTATTTTAATTTAAAAGAATTGTTTTATCTAAAAATGCTCTTAATAGATGGTTGTTTGGATCTTCTATCCTTGGATTGAAGATCTCTGGATCTTGTTTTTTTCAGGTTCCTCTAGCTGGTTAATTGTATTTGTTGTGTTTCTTCTTAATCTAAAATAATTTATTGAATTCTTAATTGATTTGTTTGGATTTTCTCAACAAGACAAATTTCTATTATGTTTTCATATCTAGACTAATCAAATTTGATTAAGAAAAACTTACAAAAATGTTAAAGATCTGCCAGACTAAACTATTTCAAAGCATAATTATCAAACCTAGAGTATATGTATTTGAATTCCAAAAACAATAACAAATCTTTACTTGCAGGACACTAGAAAACAAAATTAGAAAAGAAAATAGATTAATATCTATGAATAAAAAAATCAAAGCAGCAATCAACAGCCCTAAAGTTGTAAAACTCCGTAATAAGTCATAAATCTATAGTTTTCTATTAAAAAGATCACCAGTGACAATTTCTGAACCATCAATATTTTTTAAATAGAAAAAAATAAGATTTGATCTCAGATTAAGTTCCCACATTCATAATGGTCTTTTTTTTTTTTTTTTTACAACATGACGATCTATTTACTTTTGTGTGTCTATATATATAGTTAGATGTTTACTCTTCACTATCTGACCACTAATAAAAATTTGATAGTTTCATAAAAAGGAAAAAAACAAAAATTTAATGGTGATTAAGTAAAAGAAGAGCACCTCAATATTATTCCTAATTATTCCATGAATAATATTTACCTCCTCATCGTCCAATATCTCTTGCTAGTTACAACAAATAATACTGTCTTTTTCCTAAAGAAATAAATAGCAGTCAACTCTTTAGCCGGAGTAAGTAGAAAAAATTAACACCCAAGTGTTATTAGACTAGTAGGCATATTTTTCACCCCATATATAAAAAGAAAGAGATGAGAGTGTCTTTTTTTTTTTTTTTACCAAAAGAATAAATAGCTAGGGTTAACTAATATTCTAAATGTAAAGCACCGGTGGAGATTCTCCACTAAATCATAATGTCGGTTCAAAGAAGCAGGAAACTTACAGTAGATTAACTAGCGCCAGATGGTAAAAGAAACGTGCCTTTTTCTTTTCCTGATCCTGATGCCGCACTAATCCCAAAGCCTGGAAGTCCTGAAATTAATGGTCAACCCTTCCTCCACAATACACACATACAATAATAATACAATAATATAAAGTTTACAATTATTAATTGCAAGGTAATTATGAGCTACCCATCTCTTGATCAGAATAGGATTTATTCACGGAATAAGGTAAGTCAACTTGGATCACCAATTAAAAGAATACATTATCTTTTATCTAGTTATACCAATTCAATGAAAGCTCATTAGTCATTACCATTAGTTTACCACCTTCCCCTTTAATAAATATATTCAGTTCAAACTCACGGGTCTGTGTGTAAAAGTTACCTCTTTAAATCGGTCTCGGGCATGCATGAAAAACGAGACTCTCTCTCTCTCTCTCTCGCTCTTCTTCTCTCTCTAGATCGTAGAACTGCAGAGCAGAGGCGGCAACAGAATGTCTGCAATGTCTGAAACAAGGTCGCCGCTGCCGTTGCTCTTCCGGCGGCACTCAAGCGGCGAGATAAGGAACTTGACGTCGGTTTCCAGCAGTCTCTTGCCGGCGTTCGGAACAGTTGTGAACGATGGATACTCAAACCTGAACAAGTTCGTTATAGTTCCCTATGACAGAAGATATCGGTAAGTATATACTATATGATATCATAAACAAGAAAGTAGATATGAAAGTCTAAGAAAGAGTATAATTTCAATTTTTCAATATACCATCTTTACAAGATAACATCTATATATATCCATGCCCCCTTGTTTACCTGATCTTACAGCATATTTTCTGCAAATAATACAGAAGCTTAATCACAGGCTACTAGTTTCATGTTGTTTATTCAAAATATGTTAAAAAAGCACTTTCAAATTCGTAACTAACTTAGTTGTTGAAAAATTTAGTTTTTGTATTTTCAAAGTGTCCGTTAAGATTTGAGAGAATTTCTTATATATGCAAATCAATAAAATGATGAAGGAGTATGTATAAATAATAAAAGACTTAATTATTTCTTAAAAATGAACCTTTAATTTTGATGAGACTTTAAATTATAGGGACTAAATTATTAGAGGTTAAAGTTCAGGAACTAAATTATTAGTGATTTAAAAGTACATACACTAACTTCATCACATGACCAAAAAGTGTCTTTGTAACCTTCAAAATATTGCTTCTCACTCACCAAATATGAGGCTAATTTCATTGGTTGAAAGAGAACGCATTCAATATAAATGATATGTCATGTGGGAGATGTTGAGATAAATTGGTCATATCTATGGTTAAAATTTGAAGAACTAGTCTAAAGAAAGAAAGAAATGTCATACTTACTTTTTCATCATGCATTTTGGAAGATGAATCGGAAATGAATTGATGATGCGATGCAGGTGGTGGCAAACTTTCCTGGTAGTGCTAGTGGTGTACTCAGCGTGGGCATCTCCCTTTGAACTCGCCTTCAAGAAAGTGGCAACTGGGTCTCTTTTACCCGTTGATTTGGTGGTGGATGCATTCTTCGCCCTTGATATCCTCTTGACCTTCTTCGTGGCTTACTTGGATAAGTCCACCTATCTCCTCGTTGATGATCACAAGAAGATAGCTGTACGGTATGAGAATTGAGCTTCATTAAACGAGCTCCACAAATTGAAATTTTTCAAAGTGGTTTTAAGTGCTCAAGGAAGTAAAAAACCAAAGTCAAATCAGGGGTAGAATGCGCGATAACACCAATAATTTCTAATATTATTATTCTTTTCATTACGTATACGGTAGCACTAAAAAACAAATGATAATTTACCACAAAACGACGACTGCACACATGTAGAATTTCTTAAAAAACAACCGATCCAATTAACTCACAGACCTACCAACCTGCCAAAGTCTACCAGCATGTGACGTTGTTTGTTTGTTTTTTTTTTCTGGTTTGCATTTTTCTTTAGTAAATGGTCATAAATAGAGGGCATTAAACAATATGATTACTTGTCTGGCAAAAGAAGTTATTGGATATGCTGTAAATTGTAATTTGTAAGAGAATATATAAACATAAATGACTTGGCTAATGGTTAGTGGTAACTATTGGCAGTGCGATTGAATTGATGAAGCAAATTTAATAAACTCTACAAAACAGTTATTAGATTATGCAACCATCATATATATATATATCAGATTAATTTAAGATACGTGTTGCTACAGTTACCTTACAAGCCTGTGGTTCCCCATGGACATAGCCTCCACTCTGCCATTTCAGGCACTATACAGAATTTTCACTGGGAAGATGAACGGCAATGAGGTATTTGGCTTCCTCAACTTGCTTCGGTTCTGGAGACTAAGGCGTGTTAGTGAACTCTTCACAAGGTAATACATCGCTAGCACTTCAAATTAGACTAAAAGTGATTATTCAAGATTAAAAAGTGGAAATACAATGGATAAATGTGGTAATCATAACAAAGAACATGCTGCTAGGGAAGTTCTGCTGATAACTAATCTAACTGATAAACTGCCTCAAATCCAGGCTGGAGAAAGACATACGCTTTAGTTACTTTCTGACAAGACTTGTCAAACTAATTTGTGTAAGACTTCTTACCTGGGATAAAAAAACTTACTTGTAACGTAATATCCCCAGACCACTGCTTCAATTGAAGTATATTTTTGTTTGATCTGCAATGACAGGTGACACTGTTGGCAGTGCACTCAGCTGGTTGCTTCTACTACTGGCTAGCAATTCATCATACAGATTCAGAAAATACATGGATTGGAATTGAAGTCCCGGATTTCGAGAGCAGAAGCATCTGGCTCGGCTACACCTATTCGATATACTGGTCCATTGTCACACTCGCTACTGTTGGTTACGGGGACTTGCATGCAGTTAATACAGGGGAGAAGATTTTTAGTATCTGCTACATGCTGTTCAACATTGGCCTCACTGCTTATTTGATTGGAAACATGACAAATCTCATCGTTCACAGTTGTATCCGAACATTTATCATGGTAAATTATCTTTTGCATTGTACACTCTAATCTACAGTAACATGAACCAGTCTAGCATAGAAAACATGGTATTCGTGATAAATCTACTGAAAAAATAACAAGAAAAGCGGAGTACAAGAATATTGTCCTGTATATATGTCTAGCTTTTGGTGATAACAAATGGTTTAGAACAGAAATAACGATATCATTAAAAAAAACAATATTTTAAAACTGCAACAACTAAGCTAATTACAATGAGTCATCTGGTGGTACCGCCAGAAGTAGCTTGGTTCAATATGACCAAATTCCGTACTTGTTCAATATGCTAGAAGCAATAAGCCAATGAATCTTTTTACTATTGATATTCTTGTCTAAGAATTACACAGACACGAAAGAACCATTTATACTCGGAGAAAGAGCCATCTTCCTTTCTACTATCTCTAAAACATTTACACTTCATAACAAACAAGTTGTGTGATCACTTACAGAGGGATTCCATAAATGAGATACTGCGTTATGGAAGCAAGAATAGACTGCCAGAAGGCTTGAAAGATCAAATGTTGGCGCACATGCAGCTCAAGTTCAAGACAGCAGAGTTGAAGCAGGAAGAGGTGTTGGAGGATTTACCTAAAGCAATTAGATCCAGTATTGCCCAGCACCTTTTTCGCCAAACAGTTGAGAATGCATACTTATTCAAGGGGCTCTCTGAAGACCTTGTCGTCCAACTGGTAAAATAACTTTTTCCCTGTTCAACAGATAATGATTTCATAAAAAGAGTAAGAAAAACAAACTCCCAAGTCTGCAGCATCAACTAAAGAAGTAGAACTTTGGAGCATTACCTTTACCATCTAACAGAAGAATGTCTGGAAAATGTCACCAGCCATTAAAATCTTATTGCTATTATCGGTGGTTCCTGACGGCCTACTATATATTTGTGCAGGTGTCTGAGATGAAAGCGGAGTACTTTCCACCTAAAGTTGATATTATAATACAAAACGAGATACCAACAGATTTCTACATTTTGGTGTCTGGATCAGTGGTATGTAATATCCCGTCTCTTTTCGATGTGCATTCCATGTCATCTTGGAATCAAATCTGAACTACATTTATGAAAATGCAGGATGTGATCTCGTACAAGAATGGAACTGAACAGGTAATATAGTTGAGTTTAAAGGTTACTGCCTATTTCTCTGCATTATATGCTTTAAGAACAAAAAAAAAAGTATTCTGACAAGGAAAAGCCAGACAATGAACCATTTATGATAAAATTCTAAGCAGTTAAAAAGAATTTCAGACCCTAATAAAATTGATAGGGAAAAAACTTAAATGGTTAGAAGATCCAGAGTGAAGAAGGTCTTTACTCCAGCAACCACCATCCTTCGAAACTAAAGTACTAAACTATGAAAAGTTTTGTACCTGTCTAATTGAACTCTCAGTATCTTTTAGAAGAAAACTTATGTTGCTTCGAAGTGATAATGTGGTTGGCAATTGAAGGATATTCAGACAAATTACAAGCAACGCGCATCCTGAGTTTCAATAAAGCAAGAACTAATGCAATACAACAGAAGATGATTTGACGAGATCTGTTTTGTAGTAACTGTAAACTGAATAGAAATAGTATGTTATATCCACCATCCAACAGAAGATAATATCCCATTGAATCATGACGCCCAACTATCTTTACAAGTTGATTATTCAAGCTCAAGTAAAACTCTGAAAGCCATACTCCATGCTCAAGAAAACGTCCTGCAATGAGAAATTGAAAAAAATATAAAAAATACTGTTATGAATGACATCAGGCAGGGAAAAGCCACATTATGATATTAAGTCTTTCCGAGCATTGAGATTAGAAAGGAGTATCAGATCCCTATAGAAAGTTATTCCCTCGAACTAGTGATAAGGAATAACCCCATCCAAACGTAATCTTTCTTCCTACTCTCCCAAACACTATAATCAAAACAAGTAGGATTTTTCTGCTGACTCTCTAAACGATCAAGTAGAAGCACGACAACTTGTGTAAGGGTGGCTGTATCAGCATATACTCATGCATATTAAGATTTTTCCATCCTCAACAGAAATTTAAAAGGAAAATCCTATGAACCTGATTTTCTTTTCTCTGTTAATTAATATTTGCATGAACTGATTTTCCAGATTTTGTCAAAGCTGGAATCTCCAAAGATGGCAGGGGAAATTGCTGTAATGTTGAATATCCCACAACCATTTACAGTGAGAACTAGAAGACTCTCCCAGGTCATCAGGATCAGCCATCATCATTTTAAGCAAATTGTACAACCTAACAATGACGATGGAAAAAACCTTTTCACCAACTTCGCTGAGGTTAGAAAAATAGTGCATCTGAAATACAAATCTCTCTCTTCTTTAGTACGCATATCTTTTTCTATGCTGACCCCTGCACTGCACTATCAGCACTTGAAGAAGTTAAAAAAAGAGGAGCAAGATGAAATACCCTACTTCTCAGAATTGCTGGAAGACCTAGATACGGAGGTACTCTCGTTTATCTATTCAATAGGAGTAGATTACAATTTGTACATACTTAGCTTGTAAGCTATTCCAAAATTAGTTAGTGCAATGCTAGATATGAAAAGCCTGGTTGTTTGAGTATAACTTTGAGAAGTGTACAGAACAAAGTATCTCTTCCAATTATTTACTGAAAATGGATGGGTGTTTACTACATACCAGGGGTTTTTACAGCAAAAATAATCTCATTAAATCATGATTTATGAGGATCAAATTTAAAGGTCGGGTTAAGCCCTATCTAAGGAATCAGAATTTGCTTTAATCAAAAGTATTGAAACCCTCACGTGTCAATAAGATCTGCAGATTTACTTCCACATCTAAACAAGTGCGAGCTAGATTAAAGGAAAATGTTTATGCATGTGGTGAAAAGTTGCTAGGCATTATTACTATTCGTTATAATATGTTCTACTTGACCATGTCTAGACAATAAAATTGGAGGCTTATTGACAACTGGTGATTTTCCTCCCTAGATTGATGAAAGTTAATTTTTCTTGCAAGTATATAGCAGAAAAATTACGGCAAAAGACAGTAAGTAGATCAAAGTTAGAATATTCATTTTCTGGAAACAGCATAAATGAATGTTGTTGAAGTCATTTTTTATATTCTTTTGATTCTTTAAAGTTGTGATATTTTAAACATGTAAAGGGAGAACTTCCACACTTCTGTGGTCAAGAAAATTTGACAAAAACAATTTGAAAGGGCAATCAAGCAATTATTTATCTAGTTAAAGGAAAAATGATTTGGTTCAAACTAGAGGGAAAATAGGTCCATTACAGTAAACCATGGGACAGCTGGGTAAGTTGCCAAATAAATGTTCCTTCATAAACTAATGCTAATTTTCTCTAAAATCCAACTGGAAAAAGTTACCAAGAAGCATTTGGTGATACAAATGGTACTGAACTTTTCAATGGAAGTTAAATCTATGCCTTGAGCCTTTGAGTTGCAATTCCGTTACCTAGTAAACTGGTTCCTATTGTTGCCTACCAGAGAAAGGACTAGTCTATGAGAATGATGAAAAGAACCTTAAATAAATGATGATCGTCATGTGTTTGTTTTGCAGCATACAGAACCGAATGAGACACAAAATCAGAGAGCACAAAATTATCATGGAGATCAAAAAATGGAAGGTAAGTAGAAAATTCATTTGTGCAACGACATTGACAGTTGTGACATTATCTTTTTAACTAGTTTATGTAGGAAAACATGCATGAAAGTGGACGAATGATTCTTTGGGACTTTATTATTTTTCACTGAATATATGTTCACTCTGATAATTGCAAGTTGCAACAACGTGCATGCACATTCTAGATTCATCAGGACATAATGTTTATGTGTGCATGAACCATGTTGTCACTTTGTATTTCAAGTAAGCAATACTGAGTTTTATCAAAAGTATATACATTCGCCTCTTTAAAAAGAGAGCATGCTAGATAATAGATATTTCTCAATAATTCTGTTTAATAATTTTAAATTTTTTCTTTAACTTGGCAGATAAACTATGAAACTCCAATCTTTAATCTTAAAAATATTCAATTTTGACTACACTCTATCTACTGTAACTTAACTCGGAACAAATTATCCTTCCTAGATGTTTATTATGAGGGGAAATGATAATACTCTTATTCGAGCAACTTGAATATCATATCTTTCCAACTGTTGCGTGAGACCATATGAATTGTAGTAATTTATATGAAAGTTTACTATGGGGGATTGTGCTCGGATAAGCATATGAAAGATTGTACGACAAATTAAAGCTTCAAAGCTCAATTCAAACAATTATGTTATAGGAGTACCGGAAGCATCTAGACCATTGCCACCTACAGCTCCCATCAGGGTGATAATTCATGATCACCATCCAGATGAAAGTACAAAAGATGGCAACAGCATGGGAAAACTGATACTTCTGCCTGAATCAACTGAAGAACTTTTCGGATTGGCAGGTAAGTATTTGCATAAATATAATTTGACTCTTAGTAATACTTTCTAAACAATCTCAGGAAACGTGTCGAAAATTAGAAGCTAAGTAACCACCACTAAGTACCTATTATTCCTAAGGACAAATTTTTGTCGGCTTAATCGTGGTTTAATTTTAGAGGAAGGAGATGGTGCAATAAGAAATTAAGTAAACTACTAAATTTTCAAGCTTATAAAGAAGACATGTTATCGTGGTTAAAAACGTAAGTTAAACAATAGAGCTAGGGATCAAACGGAGCAAATCAAAGTTGAAAGTTTGCCTATAAGAAAATATATAGGATGTTCTCATTACTTTTTCGATGTCAATATAGATGACGTTTGTTAAATTAGAAAATAACTGATGAACACTTGATTGCAGAGAAAAGATTTGGAAAGAGAGGGAGCTCAATTCTCATGGCTGATGGCTCTACAGTTGAAGACTTGAATGTTTTAAGAGAGGGTGATCGTTTATTCTTTGTTTGAAGACAAAAAATATATCTGCTCCGTTTATATAATCCATTACTCCATCAAGGCCTAAATTTATGACTTGCGGTCTTCAGAAACAAGAAATGAGTGACAGTGTAAATACATAAACGGGATGCATATTGGCAGAAATGTTCAGAAAATTCGAGAGAGATCTTACAGCGTTCCCTGTCTGTTGTTGAGCATGTCTAAAACAGTGTAAGCAGCTTGCTGAAATTGTTGTTTCTCTTCCTCGAGGACTCCCTTCCTGTCAAGAGCAGAACCCCTGCACTTCTCTATGTCTTCCATTATTCCAACAGCATTTTGATCAATTTCACTGCAAACGGTTGAAAAAGAGAAGATTACGGTTAGCATTAGGACGTACTATTATTACGTTACATTCCATTAATTTCAGCGTCTTTGGGGGTGGAAAAAATTCAGATATCGACAGATGAGAAATGGGAAGATAGATGGTGTTGGAGGGCGACAAAGAGCAAAGCGGCGGTGCTAGTTGTACTATTTTAACGACATTACTCACAATATTTTTTTAACAAAAAAGTAAATCGAGCTATTGTTGATAATGAACAAACCTGATCATTCTAAGCATGTTCTCCATAGCCCCTTGGACCTGTTGTGACATATCTGCGCTAGCGTATAAATATATCAGAACCAGCGTTTTCCAATCGAATGACACAAAATAATTCGAAGATCAGAGAGTGATCAACTCTTCAACATGCAAAGAAAGAGACAGAACGACAAAATGATTTTCCGATAATAACAATCACGTCTTGTTAAACTGATATTACTTGTTATTCCAAAGTTTTCGTCGGTTATCGGCTATGATTTACAGCCTCTCTCCAAAACAGATATAATTACATGAGTTAGCATTTATCCTGGTATGACTTATAAGCCTATAAATTCTGCAGAAATAGCAACCTTTCTCCGTATACGACCACCGCGAAGCAAGAGAATTAATACAAATCACTTCTCATTCCAGAACTACAGAACTTGAAAATTACGGTTATGTGAAGCAAGGAATCAAATAAAAGATGCACTATAAATAAAAACGAAGGGAGGATGATGAGACGTGAAGATTGATCGTGTATGAACATCATTCACGACTCAAGTAGTGTAAAGAAAAAAAAAATGAATGTACAATAGAGGCAACATTTTGGAGAAGCCGACTCTTAGTACATCTTGAAGCAGGCAGACTCTTAGTTTAAGAATACAAATACCTCTTTGTCTTAAAAAATTACAACTACACCGCCGATTTGTTCAATAATTTGTCTAAAACAAACAACGCTATCTATTTTGGATTTGAGTTACACAAATTCGTAGTACCAGAATGGAAAAAGTGAGCATTATCAAATGTAATCGAGACAAAGTTTTATTCAGCTAGCGTTTCTGGAAGCAATTTTTACTTCTTTAGGCAGAAATTTTTGAACAATTAACATTTCTGGTTTTCCTCATTAGCATAAGCAACGATTAACTTAGCTCAACAACAATGTCAGGCAGGCGATTTTGAGTGTGTGCCTTAAAGAGATAGAGAGAGATAGAGACGAAGAAGCGTACCGATGATGAGAACTGAGAGCTGCGATTCAGTTTCCGGCAGATTAATAAGCTGATCGTCGGGTTTTTGTGGAGAGGTTGCCATAGGAAAGATGCTGGTTGGAGGGAAGCGCGATGAAGAAAGAGAGTTCCAGTTACGTTTGCGCGGGTAGAAATTGTACAAATGATTTTCAAATTTATGTTACCATTTTGAGAGAGAGATATATATATATATATATATATATATATTTTTTTTTTTTTTTCTTCCCCAGAAGCAATGTAGGAGAATTCCAATTCCTAACCCTAATTTGTATTTTTGGTCCACATAATTAAGGGGAAATTTTTCAATATTATGGGATTACGGATTTTCTTTTGTTAACCCTATAAATTTGTCTTTATAAATAAAATTTTTAATACTGGTAGATACTACATCATTTTTAATACGACATGACAAGTTGTTAATGGGAGAAGTATTCTACCTTTATAGTATAAAAAATTTTCCAAAAATTAAAAATACTTTATGATAAAGCACTTTATAAAATATTTTTAGCTCACATTTTGAATGTGAACATTTAGATTGACGCATTTGAAAAATAATTTTAAGGATAATTATATTCTACTATCTACTTGAACATAGCTCAACGGGTTAAAAGCATCTATCTTCAAATAAAATATTGCGAGTGCACAAACCAAATCATAAATTAACACAGTAAAAAAAAGCTTTAACTAATTAGAATATAAGTTTAACAAAATAAATATTGTCCAATACAAACAAAATTCATTACGAGCTCAACTCAGCGGTAATAAGAAATCTTGAGTTTGAATCTCCATCCTCATTTGATGTATTAAAAAAATACAAGCAAAATTAAATTTAAAAATATACATTAAACGAACCTTGCCCTACCCATGAAAGTACTCATACACTTGTCCGTAAATATCAACAAAAGTAACGCTACTAATAAAAATAAATTTTACTACCCATAAGTTGGTCCATATGATATAGTTTCAAAAGTTACCGTTTGATCCTTATAAAAATTTCAAAATGTTCCTAAATTTATCAAATATCCAAGGTACACATTTTCTTTAGAGGTTGGTTGATCGTCCATCTTTATCACATCAAAAAATATATATATGTGTGTAATATGTTTTTTTAAATATTATTTAAATTTCGAATGGATGAAAATATGAAGTCTCTATTTTTTAGAAATGTCGATATAGATATTGATAAAATATCAATATCGATAGAGATAGTTCGAATATCCCATCACATTTGGTGTACTTAAAAAAAAAATTACAATTATTAATATTATGTCAACAGTAATAATATTCTGTTGATAAATTTTTTATGTCCAATCAATTTTTTACACAATATTATGAAAATATCAATACCGAACGTTTAAAAGTATCAATGAAAATATTGACTTGTTTACGAGTATTTAATATTGAGATGACCAGAAAAATGCTTAAACACATCGCACAAAACGGTAATTAAGGTAATCTAACCTATAAAAAGAAATGCTAATTTTGATATTTAACAAAATTAAATCTTTAATTGAAAGGTTAAATTTGACTTATTTAATCAAGAGACAGTACATGAGTTAAAAACAATGCTTAAATTTATACGTCACCACACGTGTAGGTGCTATTATAAATATATATATATATTTAAATAAACCAATCATGAATTGAGGAAGCTCTTTTTTATTTTTTGGCACAAACATCAATACTAATTGAATTTATTTATTATTTTTCTAAAAATAATAGTAATTTATTATATATTTGTGCATCGTTATTTGTTAAGTTAGATTTTATAATAAGATGATGGGAATTTTTCGGTACTTGTGGCGTGATCACTGTGAAACGTGTTCTTCTGAGTGGAAGAGCGTTGGATCCTTTCTTCTTTCTCATCGAACGGATCCAAGCCAATAGGGTATTTTATTTATTTATTTATATCCCATCTTCGTAATTATGAATATGCTTGTTTTTATTATTTTTTAGTATAATGTGTGGAATCGAGATTGGGACTCTCGACCTCTTGATAAAAAATAAGAATTAATTACCATTAAATCGTACTTACTTTGACATGATGTTTGTATTTATTAATTATTAGGTTAAAATATTGTTTCATGCGTAGTTACTTTAAGCTTTCTTTTATTTTAGTCTATGTACTTCTAAAATCTTCGTTTTGAAATGTCTATTTTGTATTTCCATCATAATTTTTGTATGACGTGTCACTCACTAAATTTATTTAAATGTAGCTATAAATCTATGTTAAATAATTTCAATTGTGTATAAAAGTTGTGTTAAAATATTGCAAATATGAATTAAATTGGTCACTTTTTTAAATTGTAAGACCAAAACAGACATTTTCAAAGCACAATGACTAAAATGAAAAAGGTTAAACGTACATGGACCAAATTGAACGTTTTGAAATTACATTGAACAAAATTAACCAAATACAAAAACCAAAATAGTATTTAAACTTTATTATTATTATTACCCCACCATTGTTTTTTTCAACGATTATGTTATTAATTTAATCTTTAAACTTTATTAATTGTGTTAATTGAATTCATCAACTTTATGAAGTGTTAATTATGTCCTTAAATTTTGATGTTGTATATAACATATATATTAATGTTATTGTTAAGTAAATACAAAGCAATGTCAACATGAACTTAACTCGACATGGTAAAATGTCACTTATATTTTAAACATTAAAGGTTCAAAACTCTAATTCCTGATAAATTCAAATAAATAAATAATAGAGTAATGTACTTATTCAATACATTTTGAGTTGATATTTGGTATGATGTGGTTGACAAATGCAATGAACAAAAAAAAGTTAAAATTACCAAATCACCCAAATGAAAATAATTAAAACTGTAAAATTCACTAAAATGAGATAAATGTGTGCAAATAGTGATTGGTAAGAGTTAGTATGCATGTGAGGTAACTAGTGACAAAAGAGTATGCATAGAGAGAAATAATTGACAAACAAAATGTGTGTAGCAAAATGCATGGAGAGGAAAATTAACAAGAAGAACGTGTAGATAGAGATGGTTAGTATGATAAATGTGTTAAAAGAGTAATTTGAAATATAAAAGTGATTTTCTTAATACAATAGGTGAGATATGTGAGTGACAATTCAAACTTACGGTCAAACCATATTCAGATGGGTGGAAAAATAAAAGTGTTTTCTAATTATCACGAGAGATTGAATATCAAATATTCAATATCAACTGTTCACGTGAAAACATTTGTAAAGTCATATTTGAGAGTGCTTGTGTCATGATATTGCACTCATCACTTAAAATCATCATATTTAGAAGTAACGTAAACTCCTCTTAAAAAAATTGTTTTATAAGAAAACATTTATAAATTGTTTTTGGTTCAAATGCTACACAACAATCATTTTTATGCGTGAGAAAACAAAACATTCAAGTAATTTATTATTAGTCAAGTATAACTCAACGGTAATTTGTATATATCTCTAACTAAGAGGTATGTGTTCGATCTCCATTCCAACGTGTACTAAAAAAATTTATTATTAAGCATCTCTATACTATAATATCGTGTTATTTGAGCTAATTAAAATTACTTATTTTAAAAGCATTTTCATTCACATGTTCAGATACTTTAATCTGTAGAAATTGCTTCTAAAATGGTGGTCAAATGCAAATTTGAAGAAGTTAGATACCTTTAGAAAAGGGTTAAATACAAAACACTTGTCAGATTTGTATACAAAATTTTTAATCTTTTTTTCATATTGTAGAAATTCCGGCCCGATGCTTTGTCTAGAAGTTGTTTGGTAAGATGAATAGAAAATAAAGTCAATGAAAAAGGATGAATAGCAAATAAAGTTATTTAATAATTAAATAAATTGTCCTTTTGTTTTAATACTTTAATTTGTTGAATTAGGATCAAATCGTCCAACAATATCATTAAAACATGAACAACAATAACTAAAAAAATATTTTGATGGGTAGCAAAGGAAAACAAATTTGTGATATCTACAAATATAGAAATCTTTAAACTTTACAAAACAAAACTTATTTTTTTATTATTATGATTATGTCAACATTATTTTCGAAAATTGATAAACCTAATATGAATATATAAGTCACTGATATTGTTTATGCAAAGATATACACAACAGTGTATTTCAGATTGCAGCTCGAACTCGGCCTCCGGACCGATCTGAATACTTGGGCGRACCTGCACAAAAAGGTGAGCACTCTGACGATCAAGTCAGTATAGGTCGATTCCTAGTTTAGTTCGAGGTCAGAAATCATCGTACCTGATCGTGGAGTGAAGTCCTCTACTTATGGGTGGTAGTCCCGCTAATCTCGCGACTGTTACACCCGGTAATCTCGGGACCGTCGGTTACACCCGGTAATCTCGGGACCGACGGTTATACCCGATAATCACGCCGCTGACAGTAGCTCACATCGGCCCCCACCGAGCTTCCCGGTAGGTCGGACCTCGGCCAGGTTCACCTCGGCCCTCATACTTAGCATCTGTCAACGCTAGTGGTGGTGATCTCGGCGGTCCGAGTTGAGGCATGACTCATGGTCACCTTGGGGCACCAATGGCTGTTCTCCACGTGTCTAGAGTATTCTTTCCCCCAAACAGATATAATTGATATATACCTAATACGAAATATATAAATCACAATAAATATATGAACGATATACTTCATGGTAGGTATATCATTGATAAATTTTATTCAAGTTGAAGATTTTGATTTAAGTAACATTACGTGTTCTTTATTGATATATTCTATCAAGTATATTAGCGATATACCTAATACAAAGTATATCGACCACACAAAATATGTGAATGATATACTACATATTAGGTATATTATCATTAATAAATATTGTTCGAGTTAAAATTTTTGACTTAAGTAACATGACATGTTTCTTATTGACGTCTCGAGTACACCAATTATATAACTGATATATCAAATATTAACTATGTCATTAACATAATTGGTGCAGTTAATATGAAATATATTAGTTACACTAAATATATGAAAAATATATTTCATATTAAGTATATTAATATTACTAATAATTAAATAGTGCATTAGCGTAGGTTTTCTATTAATATATCAATGATGTACTTTATTTTAAGATATCGATGGTATTGATGCATAAAATGAAGTAGTCACATTAAATATATTAGTGACTTCATTTTAGATATATCACTGCTATAACCGATAAACCTAATATTATCATTGATATACTTTATATTAGGTATATTAATGCGAGGGTTTCTCCTACTTTTACAAGATGAGTGGATTTTAGGGGTATAATATACTTTTTATTTATTTATTTATAATTTGGATTGGTCCTCCATTTTTTTTTTCTATATTTACCAATCAAAAAAGTTGTTGCAAAGGCAAAATTAGTAACGAATGATCCTTCCGAAACGGGTAAATTTCCCATCTTTATTCTATAATAATAATAATAATGCATTTTTCTTTTTTTTTAAGTTTGGTTTTGTTTTTTCTCCGGAGCTCCCTCTTTCCCAGGCAAACTTTCACAAGCTCAACTCCATGGCTCTACCGTAATTTGACACGTGTGATTCACACGAGCGCTGGGCCCCACTTGAACGGAGCTTTTTTACAGAACACTCAACACAACACAGTACGAAAGAAACTAAAAAGAGCACACGGTACAGATAACCGGCCGAAGAAGACCGGTCCGGTAGTAAGAGAATCTTGCGCTCACAGCCGTTGGATTTCGTGGGGTCCACAAACCTGACAGCCACGTGTCGAAATCAGGCGGTTGGGATCGAGAATAAAAGGAAAGCTGAGTCACGCAAAACGACAAACAAAGCAGTTCCGAAAAGTGAATTATAAAATTATTAAAAGGGCAGAGAGAGAGAGAGCGAAGAGCCTTTAGTCACAGTAAGTTAATTAAGACATTGTGACGTGGCAACTTGATTTGATGGGGACTGGATGGACCACATAATTATTAGTTAACGGTTGATAGACGCCATTTAACCGCCGTTGACGTTAACGGAATTATTTTCGAAATTTCGAGGTTGTTCTTAAATCTTAATATGTATATATAATATACAAGTACAAACTCATTGGTTCTTAAAGACTAAGGTTCAAATTATTCACAGTTTATTATTTATAAAGTAAAAATAAACAACAAATAYGTTTTTGTTTCTATTGCTTCACTTAAAAGTGGYTGGAGCTCTTTCATATTTATGCTATAAATTAGTGAATTTTTTTWAAAAAATATTATAATTCAAACAAGAAAATAACTTTGTCAAATTCAGTATAACGATAAAAGCACATATCTTCAACTAAAAAGTAGCAAGTTCGAATGCCTACCTCAATATATACCTAAAGAGAACAAAAAAAAAAAGAAAATGAATTTTGACTTATAAATTTGTTATTGCAACCTAACAATTTATATTAAGTGTATAGTTACTCTTAAAAATAATTATTTAAATAATGCATACTTTTAATTTCTAATATGAATATGAAAAATAGTAAAAGGCTAAAATTGTAATAACATGTAAATAATTAGGGTAAAATTGTCAAGAGCAAAAAAAGGCAATGACACAGTTTAGTACCTTACTAAAATGGATGTTTCGTCCTCTCCACATTCTCTACCACAGTTTACCAAAAGTGCAAATATAATATCTTTTAAAGGGAAGAAAAATGCAGAATAAAAAAATTCAAAAAAAAAAAGAAAAAAGAGGTGAACGTCATGGTGGTTTAGGGAACCAACCGGAAAAAAAAAGTTATATTTATTTCATTTTCACCCTTAAAACTTTCAATTATTCAATATTAATCCTGCAATTTATAAATATTTTACTTTAAGTCCTCAAGTTTTACCTGATAATTTGTTTAGGCAAAATTTAGATGCTAAACGAATCAAAATCGATAGTTTAAAGACCAAAACACAGTAAACATGTAAGTCCAAGTATCTAACCAAATAATAATATCTATTTATTTTTAACATGATTTTTCAAAATCTTCATTTTTATAAAGTTCTAAACTCTTGATTTGGACTTTTGTTAATATAGGATAATTTAACTACAAAAGACTAATAATTTAAAACTAAAAAATGTATATACAAAAGTTTAATTTAAAACTAAGAAAAATACCCGTCAAAACACAATGGTCGAAAAAGTTTATAGTGCTACAATTTTCATACTACTTCAATTCATTGTTGAAATCAAATGCCATTTAAGAGTGATGTAGTGTCTAAAGAATAAAATAATCTATAATTCGATTACGTCAAATTGCAAATAGAAATAATACACACTCTCATAATTTTTCCATACTGATTAATAGTGATTAAC